TAGAATAGTTTCATTGTATATGCCACAATCTTGCGGTTGTGCGTCATAGATTTTGGAAATCAAAGTGTAAGAGGGTTTTTAAACGAATTCTTAACACAAGCCTTAGGAGACAGGGCTTTTTTTTTTACTTTTCAAGTGTCGGTCCTCAACCTGTTACTATCTGAAAATGCTGATACGGTGGTGACTTTTGAGGGGTTATTTGAGATATCTTTCTATTTAATTTCGTAAATGATAAGGGGTAATATTTATCTAACTTTTTTTTAAAGTGCTAATTGTTTAAACAAGGCCATCAAGGTGTGGTGAGAGTTTTAAAAAAATACACATTTTGAGGACAGAAAACAAACCAATCCTTTTCACTAACATAAACTGTATTAATATTTACTAATGTTAGTCATTTAGAATGAGCTTTCAGTTTGTTATACTCTAATTCGCAAATGTTGTATGTAGAGAACAGCAACAGTGTTTTGACGCAAGCATTCTAGATGTACTTTTCTTAAGATATGATTACTCAAAGACTGTAGGAGCAATTTTATTTAGTATCAGTTTAAAGATTTTTTATTTAGAGTAAATGAAGAGACATTAAAGTGTATATTTTACATGCAGATATTTTTGTTGGGTTTAAAGAAGATATAGATTATTATATCAGAGTCTATAAAGCTCAGTTAGCCGCTATCACATTACAAGAAGTTCTCCACGGTTTCTGATGGTAAGGCATTCTCATTCAACTTCATTTCATTTTAATGTCCAAATCTGTCAAAAAGGAGGCAAGGTTTTTGTTTTTTTTTGTTTTCGTATAAGAAGCATGCAAAACCTATGCCTGTAACATTTTTAATTTCATACATAGAATTGTACAGGATTACATCATTTTCAACTGATTATAATGTACAGTATTTAATATAGGCCTATTTTGTTGTATGTGTTGCGTATTATTCAAATGGAACAAACTGAGGCCTCTGTTACAAGTGGCAAAGCTTTCTGTGTATAATTTGTCTAATAAACATGTTTTCTACAGTGGATTTTGTTGTGTTTTCTGTATCATCAAAAATGTCTGAACAGTACAGTTGTACATGTGAACAGTAAAGCTGTTCTGTTTTGTCCCTTCCACCTCAGGATGAGCTCATCAACATGAAGTGAAGTTCTTTGAACACAATGAAGGTTGTGGTCAAAGGTTAGCCACTGTTGGCTTTTGACTTTGTGAACCAGATTCATGCTCTACAGGTCAAAGTGAAAGGCACCACAACACTTCAAGTCAAGCTCTAGTGAATGAAGAGTTTGTTGCCACAAGTCTAACCTTGATCCTGTCATGTTCCAGATGTATTAGGCCAAGTTCTTGTACGTGAGTCTGTTTATGCTATTTATTGTATGTAATGTCTAGTCATGAGTTGGAGTGTTGCCTGCTACACTTTTTACCAAACTCTGATGCACCACAATGATTTTTTTATCTTAAATGATAAAAAGCTTACACTTACAGCACATAGCACCCATGAAAGCTGACATGCAGACAGTTGCGATCTGTAGCTTCAAGGAATAATGTACAATTCGATGTTCAATGGCAGACATGTTCTGCATGAAAACAGAGGATAACTTAAGTTAGAAATAAATAAATAAAACGCTATACTTTATCCTCCATTAAAGATGGTGAATTTTATTGTATGACGAACTGTAGGAAAAAGGCTGTTTGCATTTTGATAACTGAGGTTGAAATTCAAGTTCTGAAAAAATAAGCGCTTGATCTACATTAAAGGGATAGTTCACCCAAAAATTAAAATTTGATGTTTATCTGCTTACCCCCAGGGCATCCAAGATGTAGGTGGATATTTCTTCAGTAGAACACAAATTATGATTTGCGCTCACGCGAACTCATTCGGGAGTGGTGACTTTACACGTATTCCCAACTTCTGAGCCTGCTCACCTGAAGTTATGGTTGATTGCTCTTCGGCTGGATATCCACACACCCATTAACGTAAACTACGCCAGAGCGCGTACACACCTCACGCACCGGATGCCGTGCGCGCGCCTAAAGCAGTTGGACATAGTGGTGTATTAGAGGTAAAAAATTATATAAATACTGTTCGGTGTCTCGCACAAACCGATCGTTTCGTGTCTTAGGACATCAATGTGTCATCACGAGCCGCAGGGTTTAATTTGGATTTGTCTGTGCATGTTTTTTTTACTCTCATAGATTTTGTTACCATTGCCATGCATTATATGACTGATAGACTGCAACGGCTGGACTTAAAAATCATAATTTGTGTTCTACTGAAGAAACAAAGTCACCTACATCTTGGATGCCCTGGGGGTAAGCAGATAAACATCACATTTTCATTTTTGGGTGAACTATCCCTTTAAGTACATTGTAAGTCCACTAGATGTCGCCTTTTTTTGCTTTTTCAGTTTCCCACAGTTGTAAACAGATGCTTACAAGTGTGCGCCTGTTCTGATATTTAGAAAATCAGAGATCTTATTTGTTTAAGGTTTCATGTATTATGGAAAGCATTACATCAAATTAAACGCTTGTGAATACACAGTCTCATTTTAAAATGTAACATCAAGGAGTTTATTTATTGGATAATGAAAAACCTTTATTTAAATCTAAATTATTCAATTTAATCTAAATTATTACTTGTTATTTATCTGACTGTTTGTTACATAGATTTTTAAAAAATGAAATATTTTATTTATTGTATGTTTAAACAGTTAGCTAATGAAGTTGCGGTGACAGGTGAATTCATTATTACTATTAATATTAACATTATTATTAAGAATATTATTAATATGTGTGTGTTGGAGAAGCCTTATGATGTTTTATCGACTTTTATCAAGCACGCGATATCTCTGGGTTTCCTGGGAGACAGGAATGAAGAAAGCAGCACGCAGACTCGATCGCGGTGGAAGCCCCCATTGAGACACATTTTGTGCCCTTTTTCCAAAGAGTTCTTCAGGCGTGTCGAATGGAACATTGAGTCTCTATTGTCCCTGGGACACTTTAATAATCGACGGCAGCAATCCCAACCTGTTGTTTGCTTTAGGACCTATTCCAAGACACACAAGCCGCCTGGATGAGGCTCCAGTTGGGGTGAGCTCAGGCGCCAGTCCGCGAGCCTCTGCGCTCTATGAATTCATGAATAAATGTAAAAAGATTCATGTGACGTTTTTAATGCCAGAAAGCAGGAATGAAGGCCCCGTGCATCACTGCCTTACATTAAATAATACTTGTTTCAGAGACTAACCAGGAAACGCAGCTGTAGCCCGTGTCACAAAGTTCTGTCTGTGTAGATTCATAACTAAATTCATAACATCCAGGTAATAAAAACATTCAAAAAAAATCATTTTATTAAAATCCAACATTGATTTTTTTTTATATATAGTCCAGTGATTTTAATAAACTATTTTTTGATTGTCAAAAAGTCATATGCACAATTTGCTGTCTGCACACTGTCCACGTTATAACTGTTTAAATCCTAATATTACTGCCTTTTCTTAGTTTCACGGTATTTTTATGCCTAACAGTACAATAATTTGAAGTGTCTGTCATCAGTAATACTACGAAAAGGCGTCATCCTCAACATTATTATTATTATTATTATTAATCAATTTGTATTATTATCTTACTGCCCTTTTTGCACTTGCTCTCTTTCTAAAGCTCGTGACAGCAAGGGATTGTCGCGCCTCCAGATCAAGTTTCTGATCTTTGGGAAGCTCTTTTGCTGAAAGGGCGTTCCTTAAATCGGATCAAAAGGTTTTGAACTTGCTCAAAAAGAAAACGAAACTCAATCTGGTATTAACACTCATTTTTGAACGTGTTTAACAGTGCACCAATAGAAGAGCGAATTGTTGCAATGTGTTTAATGTTTATGTTGCACAACTGAGATTTTTTTCGATAGAATATTCTGATTATAACTGTATTTATTTTATTATATTAGACGATCCCCCGGTTTCACAGACGATGCTTAAGCCTAGTCCCAGACTAAAATGCATGTCTGGGCTGTTTTATTAACTGAACGAAACTTGCACTGACATATCTTCAAATATCTCATCTCAGTGCCATTGTTTTATCTCAAGATGCACACGAGTAATGTTATTTTTAAAGGAACATTTATAAAAGATACTTAAATGTCCTAATTGAACTATGGCCTAAACCTGGCTTAGTCAAAGCCCTGACTGTGAAACCAGGCCTATATGTACGATTATAAGATGTTATTAGGCTATATAGGCTATAAGTACGATTACGTAAACTAATAAATAAATGATAAGTGCCTAAATTAATAAAACATATTTGTAAATAACTTTCTCGAATAACTAGCCTATTAAATTTCGTTGACAAAAAGAAAACGCGACAGCAGAACGCATGAAGACACAATGCCTAATATGTCAAATCAATGTAGCTAAATGTTTTCTTTCTTTCTCCTTTTGAACAAAATATTTACTTGACGAAAATGAGTCTAAATTCACTATGGACAAAAGCAGGTTCAAAGTAAGGTGTTCTCAAAGAGTTTTGATAACCCCTTGCACTTCACTTGAGACTGTCGAGACGGACCATATTTTTCCTCTTCTATTCCGCTTTATAATATCTAATTTCCTAAACATAGCGTGTAAGGAGGCTCGCCACATAACTTTATTCTGTCTCTAAGTTTCTGAGTAGGCTATGTCCTGTGGGACGAACCATTGTGATAATAATTCTCTAGTTAAACAGGTTTGAAGCGCGGCATTACCAAAAAAAATGTTTGAGCATAATAACCTCTCTCGGGTTTATTACGACTTCTCATTGGTCGACTACACGCGCCTGCCCCGCGTGCTCTTATTGGTCAAAGCGCCACGCGACCAGCTTGAGAAGGGGGGCTCCCCGGCGCGTGCCGCTTTTAAAACCAACGAGTCGCCCTGAGACATCAGTAAAGAAATCCCCCTCACCACAGGTGTATGAACAGAAATCCTCCACGGCAAAACTCCCTTTCCCAAATCCATAGCCACCCACTTTCCTCCAAAAAGCACAAAACAACTAAATGGATGGAATGAACGTGGACGGCGTAAGCACGGATACAAGGGAAGTGGTTGAACTCGACGTCCAGAATCCGAGCTTGGGGCGGGGGGAGCAGCGCGAGTACCCACCAGCTTTGGCACTCATGGCCAGCAGTGACCCACGCGCCTGGCTGGCTCCCGTGCAGGCTGGCACCTGCGCGGCACACGCAGAATACCTGCTGCACTCGCCCGGCTCGAGCGCGGAAGGCGTGTCCTCTGCCTCCAACTTCAGGAAGAGCAGCAAGAATCCTGTCAAAGTACGCGAGCTCTGCCGGCTTAAAGGAGCTGTGGGTGCAGATGAAGGCAGACAGCGGGCCCCATCCAGCAAAGCGACGAACGTCGTGCAGAAACAGAGGCGAATGGCTGCCAATGCCCGGGAGAGGCGAAGGATGCACGGATTGAACCACGCGTTCGACGAGCTGCGCAGTGTCATCCCAGCCTTAGACAATGACAAGAAGCTCTCCAAATATGAAACCCTACAGATGGCCCAGATCTACATCAACGCTCTGTCTGACTTGCTCCAGGGCCCCGGTGCTAAAGCCGACCCGCCAAACTGCGACTTGCTGCCTGCCAACGTGTTCGAGGAGCACCGCTCTCCCAGAGGATCGCCGAGCGTCTGTCGGAGAGGCGCGGGCGCGGGTTACCCGTACCAGTACGAGGACGGAACATTCGCCTCTTTCATGGAGCAAGACCTCCAGTCGCACTCTGGAACGAGCAAGTCCGGTTCGGAGGCCAGCAAGGACTCGCCTCGGTCGAACCGGAGCGACGGAGAGTTTTCCCCTCACTCGCACTTCAGTGACTCAGACGAAACGCACTTGGAGATGCAGAGCGAAGACGAGCTGTCGGAACTGAAACTGCCCAAGCACCGCGCTTTTTAGAAAACACACCAACTGGACTGTCCATCAATCGTGTCAATCGCATATTTGGGCTTTGTTATGGGTTGCTTTATTTATCCATTTGTTATATGATCTTTTGACAATGATGTTGTTGCGTCTGACGCCAATAGATTTAGTTGCCTTCTCGTGACATTGACCAGACCCCTACGCCATGTGAACTGCCGCGTGCAGCAGTGCCATGGGCTCGAATGTCATGCATAAAACTGTCTTCCGTGAACTGTTTTGACACCGTTTATTCAGACATGATTGTCATGGGCCTATTTTCATAGATACGATTGATTTTGAACCCAGTAAGAATTTGCAACTTCTAAAGTTTACGTGCACTTTAAAAACGGGCCATAGGCTTGAGAAATATTCTTTTGTCATGGAACAAGAAATGTTGTGTTTATGTAGAAGTAATGCCAATTTGATGAATATATTTAATATAGCCATTAGATTTTGTACATCCGTTCATTTTTAATATTTGATTTCAATGCAAAGATGTGTTCTGCTTCTGTAGCTGAAGTAAGCTATTTATTTCTGTTTGCCTTTTGAATTTTTGCGTAATTGAAAATAAGCGGTTTTGCTACTCGTACGTTTTGTTTTATTTTAGAAATAAAAAGGGAAAATTAACATGATTATGTCTCGTCTCTGTGTGATTGTCCTTATCAGTTTTTCATTATGATTTTATCTCTTAATTTTTTCTAGAATATAGATCTTATTTTTAAATTAAATAAATCCTAATATGTTAATATTACAACAAATGGGCACCAGCTTTATCAAATGATATTTAATTTTAATTAGGTTTAGCCCTTAACTGAGGTGAGGTGTGGGACACTTTATGGTTGGAAGCGATGTGATCGATGATCGATCAATTACAATTGTACTGCAATTTTGTATCAAAACATAGGATGAACTTGCCAGTGATGCATACAAAACCTTTATTTTTAAGTGTGTACTTTATTCAAGTAGAGTGGTTCTTTGCAGCACCGTTCATGAAACTATTAAAAAAGCTTCCAAATGGTGTATTCATTCCGATTGCCAAAGAAGAACCGTTCAAATAACCTTTCAATGAACAGTTCAAAAACCCCTTTTTGTGAAGAATAATTGTATAATCTAAAAACCTTTTTCACTATAAACCTTTTATTGAATTAAAAGGCTCAATGGATGTTAAAGTGTATTCATGGAACCATGAATGCCAATAAAGAACCTTTTTAAGAGTGAACCATCTTCTTAAAAGAAAGTTTCTTAAGTTGGTTGTTTGGTTCAGAAAGTTCTTAATTTTACATTACAGGTTCCTCGATTCAGTGTACTGGTTTCTGGGTTATTTTAAATGCAACATGTTTTTTGTTTTTTTTCACCCAGTGTATGGTACATAATGTCAGTTCAGCATATCTTTCTTCATTTAGCCTGTTCATTCTGAGGCTGTTTAAAAAACGTATTTTTCTCTCTTTTGAAGTTTTACTTACATAGTTGTCAAATTAAGTGTAAACGCACTATTTGCATTAATAATTGCTCGTGTCTCAAAGGTTTAGCCTACAGCCAACCCGATTTCATGAGAAAACGTAACTATTTTACGTGGTGGCGATTTCGTACGAATTTCATATGATTTGATTCGCATATAGGCCTACGAAAAAAATACAATTTTACGAAAGTGCAATTAATTATTAATTAATTAATTAGTAATAGACTCAGCCATGAATAACCCGATCTTTTAAGAAAACGTCATTTAGCGGTGTGTTCGACAATTGTCTTAAAATGTGAACTTTAATCCTAAAGTCTTAGTCTCATTGTTAATCTTTTCTTTTGGTCAGAGTTTGGAAACACTTCTCTGAAGACGTTTAGCGAATAGCCTAAGTTAAGGTTGTCTTCATGCGGTGCTGGTATGCTGCCAACTGCCCCCGTGCCAACTGACAGCTTCTCTACCCTGGAGCCATGACAAACATCATGAATTATTTCATTTTGCGTATGAATGGGGTTTAATAGTCTTCTTATCTATAGCCTCATCTTTATTGAAGGAATTGTTTTAACTGTACCCTAATTGAAGCGTTTATTAACTTTTACAAAATTGTTGTCCGACCCGTGGCAAGGGGTGTTGGGTGTCCTCCTGGAAGCACGCGCTGTCAGCTGGTGAGCGCAACGAGTGGAGTCCCACAGGACCTGACTCGAGAGACTATACACTCGCTCCGTGAGCCTGCCACACACGCGCACACACGCCCGCCAGCACTTCCCAAAGTACACACACAAACACGCGCACTCGTATGTCTTAGACTAAAAGGGGGACTTACAAATAGCCTTCCTTTGTTGTTTTTAAATAAAACTGCAATATCTACAGACCTCTAAAATACGTTTATCAAAAACATTTTTACTTTATGAACCACTTTTCTTGTTCATTTTTTTCTTTATGAACCTTTTCTTGCTCAGAACCTCCCCAAAAATAATCGTTCACGATGGTAAATTGTTATGCATATTACAAAAGAAAAACTTTGATCTGTAGCTAGTAGCTACATTATGTTTAATCCTCATACACTGATAGCCTATATGATTTTCAACAATGCTAAAGGCTACAGAGAGAGTTCCCTTTAAGAATAGAAGGGATAAGTAATTTTCCAAAACTTTTTTTGTCTGCTCCCTTCAAAGACTTCACTGGAATTGCTCAGGAATTATTAATGAAAGTACCTGCTTTTTTGTGTCTCCGCCCCTGCGTTTAACCAATCACTTGAGCCGTGTGTCTGCGATCCCTATCCAGATTAACATCGAGAATAATAGGCAATATCATGCACACGCTCAGCACGCTAAATTATTCACAGCCTTATCCATAATACCTTTATCTTCCAGTGAACCGCGCGACCATCTGTGCCGCCCTGTTACATGCGACCCTTAAACGACAAACGCGCTCAAATTTCGCGACCACGCGCCTGTAAATGGGGAGTAGCGACGCCTACCAAACTGTAAACTAGCTGAAAAGTTGATCACCTGCACTTAGTAGTCGCATTTAATATGATTATTCTTAAACTGTGTTTCCCCAAATGTTTGTATATCTGGCCTTACATAACGTCTTCCGGTATTTTACAACGGAGACTGCCTGTTTCCCAAAGTAGCACTTTTAGATCGGTTATTAAAGGCATTGTTACAGGAGCTGTCAGGTCCAGTCGTGCTGAACTAATGCCAGTGCTTTCACCGATATGTCCAGTTTGTCTCCTCAGCGTGAAAAATGCTACCGAACATGGCTTTTTTTGTCTATACGCTTAAAGTCATTAAACAGAAATCTTTTTTTATAGTGCTCTTCAGTTGTTTCCATGGCTGTGCTCCTTTTAGCCTATAGAAACTTGTTCACAGAGTAGTGTGCACTTCATAAAAAATAGTGTGCACTTCATGCAACATGTGAAATATTCAACATAGGCCTATTTAATTATTTTATCTGACAAACTTTATGATCCATTGTTCTCAATCATCATTAATGTTTTACGTCATTTTGTGAGTTTCTTTTTTTTTTCCTTTTTTTTTTGCGACTCCCGTTATGCGAAAAGTTCTTCCATATATCGAATCTCATCATTAAAATCTATAACACTTTTTTTATTCTATTTGTGTGTGTGTGTGTGTGTGTGTGTGGTTTATGAGGGCACAAATTTGTATAATACAAACACGCGCACTCGTATGTCTTAGACTAAAAGGGGGACTTACAAATAGCCTTCCTTTGTTGTTTTTAAATAAAACTGCAATATCTACAGACCTCTAAAATACGTTTATCAAAAACATTTTTACTTTATGAACCACTTTTCTTGTTCATTTTTTTCTTTATGAACCTTTTCTTGCTCAGAACCTCCCCAAAAATAATCGTTCACGATGGTAAATTGTTATGCATATTACAAAAGAAAAACTTTGATCTGTAGCTAGTAGCTACATTATGTTTAATCCTCATACACTGATAGCCTATATGATTTTCAACAATGCTAAAGGCTACAGAGAGAGTTCCCTTTAAGAATAGAAGGGATAAGTAATTTTCCAAAACTTTTTTTGTCTGCTCCCTTCAAAGACTTCACTGGAATTGCTCAGGAATTATTAATGAAAGTACCTGCTTTTTTGTGTCTCCGCCCCTGCGTTTAACCAATCACTTGAGCCGTGTGTCTGCGATCCCTATCCAGATTAACATCGAGAATAATAGGCAATATCATGCACACGCTCAGCACGCTAAATTATTCACAGCCTTATCCATAATACCTTTATCTTCCAGTGAACCGCGCGACCATCTGTGCCGCCCTGTTACATGCGACCCTCAAACGACAAACGCGCTCAAATTTCGCGACCACGCGCCTGTAAATGGGGAGTAGCGACGCCTACCAAACTGTAAACTAGCTGAAAAGTTGATCACCTGCACTTAGTAGTCGCATTTAATATGATTATTCTTAAACTGTGTTTCCCCAAATGTTTGTATATCTGGCCTTACATAACGTCTTCCGGTATTTTACAACGGAGACTGCCTGTTTCCCAAAGTAGCACTTTTAGATCGGTTATTAAAGGCATTGTTACAGGAGCTGTCAGGTCCAGTCGTGCTGAACTAATGCCAGTGCTTTCACCGATATGTCCAGTTTGTCTCCTCAGCGTGAAAAATGCTACCGAACATGGCTTTTTTTGTCTATACGCTTAAAGTCATTAAACAGAAATCTTTTTTTATAGTGCTCTTCAGTTGTTTCCATGGCTGTGCTCCTTTTAGCCTATAGAAACTTGTTCACAGAGTAGTGTGCACTTCATAAAAAATAGTGTGCACTTCATGCAACATGTGAAATATTCAACATAGGCCTATTTAATTATTTTATCTGACAAACTTTATGATCCATTGTTCTCAATCATCATTAATGTTTTACGTCATTTTGTGAGTTTCTTTTTTTTTTTCCTTTTTTTTTGCGACTCCCGTTATGCGAAAAGTTCTTCCATATATCGAATCTCATCATTAAAATCTATAACACTTTTTTATTCTATTTGTGTGTGTGTGTGTGTGTAGTTTATGAGGACACAAATTTGTATAATAACATGGGT